TATCTATCTATCTATCTATCTATCTAATATCTTTCGAGTGCAAAGGCCAAAGTGTTTATCTCGTTCCAAACTAGGACGAAGCATATCTCTCGGGTACCTGTGTAGATGTACGCATAGAAAGAGCACATTCTCTGTGTGTGTGTATGTTCGTCTAGCTTGTTGGCTTACGCTACCCGGACCGCTAAAACACAGTCCAGATGGGACCCATGTCGGTAAACGTACCAGAAATAAACTGCACAAAGATTAGTTTATTTGTTCCAGCATGTTGTGTGTCCTTGAAACACGTGTGACTCCTGAATAATATTCATGTCAGTAAATGACAAATCACACCGAATAGTCTTTTTCTTGTGAGAGAGATTTACATATTGCGTGAGAGTAATGGAGGATTTAATCCAACTTCATTGGGGGAATTCGTGGTGTATAGAGCAAATTAGATATGAAGTGGAAAGCTACAAATCACTGGACATCAGTTTCTACCTGGTAGGGTCTCATCGATACAGTGTACGAATCCATCCACCTTAACTGGGGATCGAACCCACCAGGACCTCAATGGCAGAACACACGTATGCTTCCAATTTGGTTACCGGGCCGTTGACCAGACCATTTTTCTCTTTCTATTTACAAACGTACCATTTTAAATGATAATTTCAATGATGGAAATCAGACTGAAGTTGCCCTCATTTGCATACAGAACCCAAAGCTTGCTTATTTTACTTGGCTGACTGATTTTCTTCCATTACTTTTCATGTCCTCAAGAAATTAATCGTTGTCAATCACGGACGTTTAGTTTTAGTGCTTAAACACAATACTGTTGATCATCTGATAAAGTTATTTGTCCAATTCCCAAAATAAACTGTGCAAAGAGTAATTTAGCTCGCTCTCTACATCTAAGCTGAACTCTGTTCAATATCTTGGTGTAACCATAGATAGCAATCTTCATTGGTCAACCCAAATCCACAACTGCATCGGTAAACTGTGACTCCTATCATCTTAAATACGAAAGCTCAGGCAGTTTCGCGCATCTCAGTCAGTTATTTCTACCTTGGTTTATCACTGTGTTTTCCCCATCTTAATCTACTGTTCTCCAGTCATTTTACTGGCTTACTCAAACAGGATTTCAAAGTCTTACGCCACGGTCTAACTATTATTAGCCGTGTCTCTTCTATTCCTCTCAATGAATTAGCTTTAAAGCTTTCAGAGTGTCACGTCACTTTCGGTGTGAAATTTGCGGAGAGGATTCTCACAGTTCCTGACCTTTCATTGCACGCTGAACTGATCATTTGTCGATCTCATCATTCCACACACTCCCGATTCCGCCAAATTTCATCTCGAATTAACGCTTACCGCAACTCACCTCATTCCATATCCCACTCGTTTACCCAGAAACAAAGAGCGGACAATAAGTGAACTTTGACTTAACCTTGGATTATGAAATGTCCCCATGTCTGTGAACATTTTCTCCCAGATTATTATGTACCTTGTGACGGTTTTTTTTAACTGAAATGTGAGCTCCATTTGTTGCAAAATTTATACATAATGGAATGCAAT